ATCTTTAGTTTATGTAATGCATACACCTTCATGCTCACAGCTTCATGTTCGTCATTCAGACCGACAACTTGCGACACCTACCAATTAATGTACAAATAGGCATGGAGATTATCGGATAGACGCGGCCTTGGTTTGCCTATCCCACTATAATAACACGAGGATGCTATCGCAGGAGGCTATTGCTCTCAGAAGAAATGGTCCTGATCCAACCTCGTCCTTACAGATCATATATGGATCAGCCCAAACCAATATTGGTCACCCAGACTGGTTGGTTTCTTATAGCAATCCTTTCTGAGAGCCAAATAACGAAAGTCAGAGATATCACGTGTCTACAGCCGTGTGCTTTAGAACATGCTTGACTGAATCTCTTGAATTTCTTAATGACTTCTTTAATCTGCCGAGGTTATGTCGCGTTTATTGGGTGATTTGTGAACAACGAACTGGAAAAATAAAACTGCTTGAATAACCGGCCTGCAAGACTGGATCTAAACCTGGGACCTCTCGAATATTAAGCCGGTGTGTTCATCGCTTGATCGGGAAGTTCGCCATGAAATTAACTCAACTAATGTCAACACAATTCATTATTCTCTTGAGTTCTGATTTATTACTAAGGCCAGCTGAGACTGCGAAGAAAGTCTTTGTACAACGCTTAAAAGTGGGAGATTATCCTGTGATTCAGAGGTCGGCGACCACACAGAGTCCGTTAATTAAATTAAAGGTGTTTATTGTTAAACTGTACGTAATTTGCATCTATACAAAAGGAATAATTTGTACTCATGTGTTCAAAATAAAATTACCATCAGCCTATTTAGCATAATAGCATTCACCGACAGTTTTTAAAGCATAAATACACGGGATAATCTAAATTTGAAGTTGCATATCCACTGCTATTAATAAGAAGTTCTTGGGAGAAATTCTAATGCTTGGAGCTTATCAGATATTATCAGAAATATCAGCTCCATGACAACATCAGCCTTCCACCACACACGTATACTGTTTCACGCACATTTCGTACTAACCCTGTGTGTTACCGTATATTTAGGCCGCGCAATAGCTGGCTTCCCACCGTGGCGGCCCGGGTTCGATCCCGGGTCTGGTCAAGTGGGATTTGTGGTGGGCAAAGTGGCCCTGGGGCAGGTTTTCTCCGAGTACTTCGGTTTCCCCTGCCAATCCTAATTCCACCAATTGCTCCACAATCACCCTCACCTATTATCTGGGGCTGGTACAATAGGCCAGAAGTGGCCGCAGTACAAGGGACTTAGTCCCACACCACTAGCAATAACAAAAAATTATCGTATATTTCACGCGCTAAAACAGACTGGTTCGTCAGTTATATACCAAAACTATAGCGGATATTTATTTTGTTCAGTCAGCATGCTTCACTTTATTGGTTTTTTTTTTTTCAATAACGCCGCCTTGAGGGAAGCCTCAATCTCTTTCAAGATCAATCATCATGCAACATTTTCAAGTAAGATCTCTGCACTACCATAGGTTCAAGGTCTCTTGTAAGTGGTTGAACATGTCTTTCTATCTTAACTCCCACAGATGGTATCTGTCCCACTTGATTTATGCATCGTGCCTTGTGTTTCTTCTGGTGTCCGGAGATAGGGTATACCTCAGTGGTTGTTCCCACACCTCTGTCGATTAAGCTGGAGAAAGATTCGCCTCCGAAACGTCGTTTAACATAAAAATTATGGTGCTGGATAATGCCAGAAAAATTGATCACTGAATATTTTCAAGTCTGCTTTCCAATTGTTCTCAACTCAGGGTCCCGCTGAAACTAAGGGAAGGTTAACCCTATTTATTTTTTGCGGTTATTAAAGGGAACACTCTCACCCGCTGACGCACACATATAAGCGTCCTTATTTCCTGTTCGGTACAGAAAACGCTGTAAATTTGGGACCAAACTGCTATTTTTACGCACATGTAAAATATGGAACTAACTAAACAACTAACTCCATGTAGCTTAGTCTTTCTTTATAAGCGACCGGTCCCTCAGCTACCCAAGAATTTCCCAGCATTTTATGGAATCCGAAGGTCCATTACCGTGTCCACAACTGTCCTTCACTGGTTCCTATCCTGAGCCAGATCAATCCGGTCCATATCATCCCATCCTATTTCTCTAAGATCCATTTTCATATTGTGGCATGTAGACCTGCTGTTGTGCGGTGACCGGAAAATAGGCGACTGTACAGCGGAAGTTGCTAGGCAGCAGCCTGCAAACAACAGAGGAAGGGTGTTTTCTGCGATGTCCGCCATGCAACAATTGAACAGCAACAGAAAAACTGTGTTTTCTGTGTGATTGGTGTCGACATGTTATAAGCAGGATAATTAGTGAGAGTTAGTGAGTGCAATACAGTTGAGTGGAGTGGAGTGGAGTGAGTTGGTGTGTGCGTGAGTTAGGGGACTGCGAGGTTCAATCTTTGTGAGGTGTTGCTGTTAGAAACTGGTAGCTGAGGCACGAGGATAGTTCATGAATCCAGAGAAATGGGAGTTTCCGCCGTTGGAAGCCAATACCAGGAAAGAGGTGAAGACAGCAAACTGAGAAGGCTTAAGGGTGTGCTGTAGTGAATTGCAGAGTGTGACTTAGCAATAGTGCTACAGTTACATTTAGTTATGGTTTATGTATATAGGTGTTCAATAAATCCAATTACCAATCCAAACCCCGTATATAATCACACAATAGTTTCCTCCCACTTATGCCTAGGCCCTCATCGTGTTCTCTTTCCTTCTGCCTTTCTCATCAAAATCCTCCATGCATTCCTCCTCTTTCTCATATATGCCAAGTGCCCTGCCCTTTCATCGTCCTTGAGTTGATCATTATAATTATATTTGGCGAAAAGTACAAGTTATTAATCTCATTAAGCAGTTTTATTCAGTCTCCTATTATTATCATTAATTTTCAGTCCAAATATTCTCCTCAGTATCCTGTTCTCAAATACCTTGAGTCTTTGTTCTACCCTTAACGTCAGAAGTGCAGCATTAGCATAATTTATAAGTTGCTCTGCAAGTGATCAAAATCCTACCTACATCGTGTACGATTAATTCTAAATTATTGTCGGGGTTTCCATACATAGGCCACGGAAATCCCGACAATAATTTAGAATCGCCCGGTAGATTGAAGCGCCTAGAAGGAGTACTTCTGAAAGTGCAAGAGTTCATAACAAACTTTCTTGGAAAAATGACCGAGTAGGTTTCACTCGAAACGCTCTGAAAGAGAAATGCATTTACATCTGTCCGTTCTCGAACAGTTCGTTGAGAACCATGGGTGGTTCTGAGGTCGTAACTTTCACTATACTAAATATATTCGGTGTGTTGAAAACATTTTAAACGTTCTATTTTCGTGTCTAATTTTGTTTGCGAGCTGTTACCTCAAAATTCTTTGAAAACGTTTCTTTTTTCATATCTTTAATTACGCAACTGTCGCATTAACAGCCTATTCATAACTGTATCTAGCACAACACACAGAATCTTACGAATATACTATGAACTCGTCATAGCATTCAACTCGAAACACTAATTTTAGGTCGATAGAATCCATATTCAAGGACATAAAGGTATTTATATAGTATCTGAGGTTCTAAACTACGTGGTTATGACGTTCTGACTTCTGGGATATACCGCCGTGCAGTTCGCGAAATGTCCACCTTAGAAATGTCGGCTGACTTTGAACGGACTACAAGGCCCTGTATCCCAGAAAATAGACCTTTAGAAGGAATCGACCGATGATGATTATGGTAGTGGTGTTGGTGGTGGTGACTAATTGAGAAACAACAAGAGAAATCAATAAAAGGGAAAACGATGAAAAATATTGAAATCCTGAAGCTAGGCACGCTAGAGTAAGTACGACGACGTGTTAAAACATAAGGCTACTACCAACTTAACAAACAGTCTGTACTCTGTAACAGCCGAGTGCGGGGTCAGAGATGAGATCCCCAGTTTAGTTTAAACACCAGGGATATGATAAATGTTGACTATTCAAGATTTATCACACACACCAGGTGAGAGGTGATACGAAGAATAAGTAGCAATGGTGAAGTATTGGTAAGATGGGGAAACCGGAAGAAACTTCTGTATGTCTCACGTGGAGCAACGCGGGATTGAATCCGGACTTCATGGATGAAAAACTTGCGTTTTTCCGTCACATATAAATATATAATACGAAACATTTTTATGTTGGAAGTTATAAAAATGAGGACCAGTAGCCAGAAATTTATAGGTCTGCTGGAGGGACATTTGTGCTGTACGAAAACAGTCACCACAATAGGTATATAAGAAAAAAGTAAGTAAAAAAGTAAAGCTATCCCTGTACCAGGGCGTTAAGGCCCAAATGGTTGTGAGACGTTGAGGCTCCCACATTATTTAGACAATCGGCTCAGAGATGGCGGTAAGGTATATAGGTATAAGTAAACAAGAAATCGTAGAAGTTCCTGTGACACCGGCGGAAGTTACTTGGCTGGTTAGTTCATGCAGATTTAAAAGGGAAGTAATGATTTCTTCTAGAATTTCTTGTGTGATTTCAAACGTCATTCCTTGAATTTTTGTTGCGAAATCACAGCCACATTCCATTTCCTTTCATTTTGAAACTAATATTCAGGTAGCGAAATATTAAGTCTGTGGACATTTCCATCGTCCTGTCTTTATTTAAAGTACAACACTTTTCGGAGACTTCATTATGTCTTCGTCTTCAGGTGGAATCTATACAATTGGGCCCAGTTGATAGAGCTAGTCTCTATCTCCGTACTGCGTATGTTTAAATAAAAAGAGGACGATGGATAATGTCCAGAAACACGAACAAACAAACTCCGTGGCTTTAGTACGCAAGCGAAATATACCGACCGAGCGACCGCAGCTTGTCGGCGAAGTTAGTGCCAACTTTAGCCAGAAGCACAATAATTGCATTAATATACAATTGTCACAAATTTATGGATCAAATTTTCATTTGTATGCTACGCAAGAGAGCCTGGCCCTTTGTAACATATCCGTGAAATTGTTTTAAGNGGCGGCGGCGGGGGCGGTGGTGGTGGTGGTGGTGGCGGCGGCGTCGGCGGTAGTGATGGTGCTCAAGATACCAAGAGAAAGTCCGTCCTTCCAGGGGTGCCTGACATACACGCTGTCCCTGGACCGGACCCCATAGCCGAAACCGACCGAAATGGAGGGGAATCTTTCTTTTCAAAACTGAGACATACAAGACAATCTTTCCGGAATAACCAATCAAGCGAGAGCGGGCGGTAAGTGAGTCTATATTCTATCACTTTTTAACGCCTGTAAACATGACTACCTAAACTTATTCTGTCAGTATATACTGTTTAAAACAACAGAATTATATTCGTACATTAGCAAAAAGTACTCAGACATGTTTCTATGTAATGCAATATTCTGACTTCCTGGCTTCAAAGATGAATAATAAAATAAATAAACAAATGTCGTTGTTATCTGTAATGTAGTAAAAATTCATATCTTGGGCGGGTGCGCACTCACGGGCATACGCACAGGACAAAGTCGTTAACACATCATACAAGGTCTGCATGTCTACACGTGTGTTTAATAATCAGGCTTTATGGACAGACACAGATGATGTAATAGAACAATAACTGGCCTGACATATTTCGGTCGCCCTGCTGTTATGCTGACATTTATTTTCAGTATAATAAATAATGCCAGTGTTCATTAAAACTTATATAAATATTAATTAATCAATTTATTAATTACAGAGTGGATGCTTGTGAATCCAAAGTGGAGATAGTAACACCATACTGGGCTTCAAACAGTGCTGGGAAGATTCGAGCTATTGTCAACACACAACATTTTGAGCAGGCCATCCACCAAGAAGTTTGTTCGTAAGTACAATATTTGTACTGCCAGCTGCTATACCGTCACAGACTTCAAGCACTAAACAAACTCGGGATACTGTGTATTCAATGACCAGAGCTATACAGAAGAGAATGAAAAATTATCCACCAAATTATAAAACACTGTGCATGTGTGTGTGTGTGTGTGTGTGTGTGTATGTGTGGGGGTTCTTGCAGATGCATATAATATATATAGATACACACACACATACATATACAAATAAGCAAATTTAGGCATTTAATATGCACATACATACAAATACGATACATACATGCATACATACATACATGCATGATTTAATCCTCTAAAACACAGCAGTTACTATATATACCATATGCCTTCACATTAAAAGCCAAGCACTGTGCAGATACAGATTCTCAAATAAACAGCGATTATTTCCCTACACATTATCAACTTGCTGGTGTTAGTAATGGAGATGTGTGTTTCTGTAAGATAGAAAGAGTATATTAAATACTATCCAGAATAAATTCATGCTTTGAAGGGTTAAAACATGATATACATTATTGCTTTTATTTATAGGAGCAAGTTGCAGACAAAGAGGTGTTCAGGAGACTGTGGCTGTGAACAGAAGTACAAGTGGCATCGTTTGCTGGCCTACGACCCTGATAATGACTGTAAAGGAATTTTCATGGACTGGTTTCTTTTCCCATCTTGCTGTGTATGCCGATGTGCACCCATTTTTGGAAACAAATGACAAAGAGATTAATGCTCCATCATATCACAGAAATATCATGAATGAAACGGTAGAGCAGTATTTATATGTGGGACACTCAGACATGTCAACTTTCAGTTTACCACTAATATATTACCAGTCTTGAAGTATGCAAGTTAAAATGGATATACTGAATAATTACCTATGATTATTGATATTACAACAAAAGAGGTGTGTTAATATGTTTCTATAAAATAAGTGTAAATTCCACGTTCTAATTTTTGTAGAAAACTATACATCTGAGCAAAGCCAGTGAAAAATATTATTCCACCCAAGCAAATAATATTTTTGCAACTTTCTTATCTCAGAAATGGAGAGTCGATATTAACGCAAGGCTTTATCCTAAAATGTGCCACTCAAGTGTCCTTATGGAATGCTTTTACTTTTGCTTTGGCCCTGCATCTGAGTAATGAATGGGAGAAACTTTATAAAATGGACTAAGATGAGTTGAAACATTATATCCCAAGCATCAATGTTTTCAGATTTTCCATGATCATCATTATTCATTCTACAGCTGATTATCCACTGTTTACATGTTACATCACTGACTTAATAACTGAAGCAATGTCTTCATATATGCACGATCTAAATTTTACTGACACGGTTATCTTAACAGAGTACAATTTGTGTTTGCACAAATTACTGTAACTCTGTAACATCAGAATTCCTTACATTTATAATTGTAAGCCCTATAGAATTCAATATTACAGTTCAGGAAATGATAGTAGAGATTTGAATTTATGGATAAAATTATCATCACATATATAACAACTAAGTTCGTTAAGTATCACCCGTTAATATTATTTTTGTGGAAATATTTTATCAATTCTAAGTCTGTACATAGTGGCTTCTATTTTTTCAAAGTCTGGATGAGGTCTTGAAAGTTAACACAGATTGGTGCTTTGAAATGTACATATATTATTCAGATACAGGTTTCATATTTATAATTATAAGCTTATAAACTTCTCAAACTGAACTTCGATAATCCTTCAGTATCAAATACTGAATGGGAGTAAATAATATATGATGAGTCATATGATTTAATTGTAAAATTACGTAGATTTCTACCCTATAGCATGTACATTTCTGTGGTCTGTTTGCATTCTTCCCATGATAAGATTGCATTATATCAGTAATTGTAAAACTGTAGTTTGAATTTTGAATGATCCAGAAGACCAATAAACGTGATTCCTAAAATAGAAACATATTAACAGACAGCTCAATTCAGATAAAGTGACAAATATTTTTGTTTTTATTGTGTGTATATTGCTGAGTGAACAGTTTTCTGCAAAAGTGAATAAAGAATAAGTTGCAAACTATTGCAATTATATTCTAGGTGTTCAAAAACTTTGTTATCTTAACTGAAGTTTTCAAAGTTATTATTAGATGTGTGTGGTTTCTTATTTGGATCTAAATATTTCAATGGTGTTTATTTCAGCATCAACATGTTTTTTTTACTTTTGCAGTAATTATGAAGAGGTTGCAGATTTTACCACATTTCATTGATATACATTATAAAAATATTTTGTTAATGATAATTAAATGAAAGCATCCTCAAATTTGAATAGAGTATATTATTTATGTACAATTTCCTTTCGCATCTACAGTTTCAAATTGAACTCCTATAGACCAAAACACAGTGGATTCCAGTTAATTGGGATACACTGGGACTAAGGTACTTTGCCCCAATTAAGTGGCTGCCCCAAATATACAAATTTGCTTGTAAATGTTTGAAGAGTTATGTGTACAAAACACAGAAGATAAGCTTTCTGTTCCTTGCACAACAAAAATGCTGACTTTAGATGAGCTGAAACAATTGGTGCAAATCGCAAAAAAGTATTTAACCTAAAACATACTTGATTAATTTATGCACACATGCTTCTTAATAGTCAGTGACATTGAAGGAATTGATTGAGTATACCCTGCTGTGTTCTCTTGATTGACTGAAACTCAACAAAATCAGCTCAGGTTTCTGGTGCAGATATAGGATTGCCTTCATTGCTTCCTGAATGGAGTAAAGTCAGAGTCCAGCAGTAAATTTCCTATCATCCTGTTTGAATGAGTGAATAAATGAGGGGTGGTTCATAATAATCCAGCTCTTGCAGAGCAACCATCAATGATCTAATGTGCTTTCCATTTTGATTAATCCCTTATTAATCCTACATTTTGAATGAAATATAGGACTTTGTTTATGGGGGTGTCATAGTAGTCACTTGGTTCCATAAAGAACTGGCCCAGGTGATGAAATCATAAATGAGCTATGGCCTCACAATCACATAGGATATGTGTGGCTGACTCATCTTCTTCTACACATTTTTCGCAAATGGGATCATCTGTCAATCCCAGTTAGTGTCCTGGTTAGTCACCCATTCACAATGGGTTGTGTCATCCTCATCAATTTTCTGATCTTCTGATGTGTTCTGCTGTTTCACTGTAATTTTTTCAACAATTGCTTCCCCACAATCTGAGTGTTTAAAACCATGGTGAACAAAGCAGTTCTGAATGGTCTTGGTTTTCACTCTTTGCCAACTATTGGCAATAAACCACACTGCTTATATAAGATCAATCCTTGTACTCATCTCCTTAGCTGTTGAAGATTTGTCAGTAGATTTCCTTGAATTTCTTCTAGGATGTGGTTTACAAACTCTAGGTGATATAAGATCTTCAAATTTGTTATGATTCCCATGTCCATTGGCTGTAACAGGGATGTGGTGTTAGGAGACAGAAATTCCATTTGGATATTTTTCAAAGACTCTTAATGAGGGTTTGCTGCACAGTTGTCAAGGACCAGTAAAATTTTCATTGACTTCCATTGTAATTTCACGTCCCAATTCATTAGTCATTTCTTAAATATTTTAGATGTCATCCATTCTGCTTTATTAGCACAGTACAGAACTGGTAAATCCCCTTTTGTCTTCTCATCTGTTGTCCAAAAACATAAAAATTAGAATATACAATACTATAATTTTGCATGTGTTTCTGTATGGGTGTGAAACTTGGTCTCTGACATTAAGGGAGGAACACAGACTGAGGATGTTTGAGAACAGGGTGTTGAGGAGAATATTTGGACCAAAAAGAGATGAAGTGACAGGAGGTTGAAGAAAACTGCATAATGAGGAGTTTCATAACTTGTACTCTTCTCCAAGTATAATTAGAATGATCAAGTCAAGGAGGATGAGGTGGGCAGGACATGTAGCACGAATGGGGGAGACGAGGAATGCGTATAGGATATTGGTGGGAAAGCCAGAAGAAAGGAGACCACAGGGAAGACCAAGGCGTAGGTGGGTGGACAATATTAGAATGGATCTTAGAGAGATAGGATGGGATGGTATGGATTGGATAGATCTGGCTCAGGATAGGGACCAGTGCAGGGCTCTTGTGAACACGGTAATGAACCTTTGGGTTCGATAAAATGCTGGGAAATTCTTGAGTAGCTGCAGAATTGGCGGCTCTGCCAGAAGGGCTCAGCTCCATGAGTAAGTAAGTTAGTAAGTAAGTATTAAACAATAATGATGACTATTTTTATGGAATATGTCTTGATGTCAAGATGATGGATGTCAAAAAGATCAGTCAGTTACTGTCTACATGCTGTCATACAAAACGTGCTGAATTTCAATAAAACCTATGCATTTCACCATATCCTTGCAACTTAAGAAATACATGATTACATTTTGCATGCAGTAATTTGTACAAACTGTCAACAGAATCTCTAAGTACATGCACAAGAATAAATCTGATTTGGAGAATGCACTCTCATACTCTGGATGCTGTCATAGTGGTGACCAAATATTTGAATCTTTCTAGCACAGTTCCAGTTTTGTGAATGTCTCACTTTCCTTTAACACTTGTCATGATTATAATTAATATACTTGTTCTCCTGTTTAATTACATGAAGTCACTCCACAAGATATATTTTTCCACATTTCCATGTTCCATGGAAGAGATCTTATTACACAGAATTAGTGACTATATTTTTGTGCAGATTCCAGTTCATTCTATTCTGAAATCAAAATTTCCCATGAACTGAAAAATTTGACAGTATGGCATATCTGATGCAATCCTCACTGTTATAACAAATGTCAATATGTACCTAAGACCATTTGCAAGAAAAATAAATATATATTTTAATGCAGCATTCATATGTGGTTTTGTAAATAACTTATAAGTTTATTTCTCACCACTTTCAGTCGGTTAAGAGATAAGAATTAAAAATGTTAAAACTCGTTATATATATAAGCATATCTGCAAACTCTGTATTTGACATCAGAATGGCACCAAGAGATACTGTGTTACATGGTGTCTCTTATACCACTCTTACTCTGCCCTACTATAGAACACAGGCTTCATAACAAATGAACACCCCAATATGCTATGATAATATTCATTCCAGATACCCCTGAGCCAACTGGAGAATGAGCTACACCAACCTCCACCAATAACCCTTCGCCCCCAAATTCTGCAAAAACATTCAGCCTTGAGCAATTTTCTAGGGTAAAAGTTGGCATCTTTGGATCTTAAGTTACAAAATGTAGAAAAGTACTCAAATATCCAAACTTATTATTTTGTTCGTCGTCACTCCAGGCTGAGTATTTTCAGATACACATGAACATAGACAATTGATTTTCTCATCTCTAAGTGTTCTTATATCTACTATACACAATATAGAAGCATCAAGCAATGCCGTAATATGAACCAGATTAAGACTGCCCTTTCTCTATAACCATGCAAATGTCTGGCGACAGAGAGATGTGGCAGAGAATTTAACATATGAATCTGCTAAAAAATGTTTTACATTAAGTTTCAGTTAAATTGGACTACATATATTTTCATAATTTGGCTGATTCTGAGATTTAGTTTTCTCAACAAAAGTAACAGAAAATTTTACAATTAATTTTTAAATGGACTAGAATCTTTCCAGGGAATCAGCTACATCAGGGCTCAGTTGAGCAGTAATGTTTTGGAGCCTTGCTCTGCTACCATCATTGGGGTTGGTGTGAGGAACATTCCCCGCATCAGCTGAATGAACAGTAATGTTCTAAACTTGCTCTTTCATTTGTTATGTATATGTTACAGCTGGACTGTGAGTGAGTCTATCATCAGTGATGACACCTATTAGCCTATTGGGAATGAATGTGTTTATGGTTCCTGCGTTAAAACATTTGCAGAAGTGTGTTGCAGAATTAAGAGTCATAACATAATATTTAGCATGTGTCTTTATATGTTAATACATAATATCTTTCAATATGGCGGACTGTAATGTAACGTGGGAATTGGAGTCTCAACAACAAAGTTATAATACAGTTGATAATAGTGAATATAGTTGCTNTAATCACTGAGTTAGAAGATATTATTTGCATTTTTATTTCTTTATGGGAATTAGTGAGTCAATAAGAAGAAATATGTAAGGAATTAAGTTCATCTCAATTAATAATTAAGCTCTTGTATAGAGAGATAAATGATATTACAAAGAAGACGTAGAAGCCGTCTGACACTACTTTAGAGTATGAAACTATTATTGATATCACTTCGTCTAGGGAATGGGCCAGCACAGGACCATACAACGAATTTAGGGCAAGAAATTTTAATAAATGTCAATTAAATCAGCCCATAGAAAATAATAACAGATATACTATATTGGCTAACCAATCAGAAACTGCTGTTTGCCAAGATGAAAGAATGAAAGCTAATCTTCCGGAAACACTTGAAGTTTCTTCAAGCAATTACCTGTATGTGAAAAGGAAGGTTTATGGAAAGAAAACTAAAACAGATGGTTAATCGGCATAACCAGATGTAACCCGAGGCCTCTATATAAAAGAAAAAAAAAATGGCATTACAGTGAGCAGCAGATTCCTTAATCACAACAGCCTGTACACTTGAAGATAGCCAGCCAGGCCGAAACATGTAGTGTCAATAAAGAAAAGTGACAGGTGCATAGGAACCGACATAACACATAGAGGGCATATAAGCAAATCACAAAGTCAGATCTATGTAGTGCAACAGTATGCTGTGATATAACAAGATGTAAAAATTCCCTACATGCAATTTTTTCCCACCATAAGACTAAAAAAGAACATAACTATTCAGAATGGTTAGGATCAGGAGATGAAAAAAAAGAAAGTTTCCACATGCATTGGGAAAAGGAATAGCTGTTCATTATGTCTACCCTGCCCACAAAACCATTCTTCCTTCTGCAGCCCTCAACGGTGGAAGGTTTCACAGTATTTCCATATCAATCACGAAAGTTACCTTCTGCATGTGGACTGTGAATGCTGGTCAATGTAGCACACTTCCTTCTGTCCTTCCGAATCATTGCTGTCAAGTCACCCATGTTCTGGATCTAATGTCTCATTTCTTTTCCATAACCTATCATGCGTTTCATCATCTTTGTCTATTTCCTTGGCTAGGTTTTCAAAATGTGTGAAAATCTGTCCCATTATAATGTATGACTATAGAATAGAGTGTAAAACTGTTCCGTCTCTGAGGAGTACTATTTTCTGGGATATAATGCCATGCAGTCCACTGAAATTCCATCGATGTTTAGGAGGAAGATATCGCCTCTAACTTCAGGACTTATTTGACATTGAAGATGGAGGCAATATGTTCCTCTGATATGTCAGTTGACTTTCAGTGGACTGCACAGCGCGTTATATCCTACACTTCATAACCACCACTGCAGAATCTCGAATCCTACATAGTGTTCCATCTTTGACCAGTAGTCTGACAGTCTTGTCAGTCTGTTTCTCAAATCATGTCCTATTTGTGACACAAAGGTCAGGAAAAGGAAAGCATCAGTTTCATTCATTCATTCATTCATTTCCTTTATTTTCCATATATCTACACAGGCAAAAAACCTAAGATGTGGAAATAGTCCCTTTGATAATAGATGTATACATGTAATAAATTACATAAGTCACACAACTAAAATAATAACAATAATAATAATACACACACTAGTCAAGTAACATAGGCAATAGAAAAAAAAAAAAACAAAAACAAGAAGCTTATTACAATTGTAATTACTAAACATAATTTAAAAAGTGCATTACTATAAAAACTTAGAATTAATACAATTTCACTCAGATTACCCAAATAGTTAAATGCTTTCTTTATTTCATTTTCACATAAATCAAAAAACACTGATACAGGACTTGTCACATATATACATACACATCCTCAACTTTCCATAAACATCTATACAGTGAACAGACCCAGGATGCAGAAATAGTCATCAAACACATACACAAAGTAACACAAACCACACAACCAAGATCACCCACATTAACTGTCTAACACAGACAACAATATGAGGCAAAAAGATAATATCCTGATTAACAGACATAAGTCACTAGTAACCACAATACAACCCCTCACATCTCCCATACTAACTATATTAAAATGTGACGTTAAGCATTCAAATTTATGTACATTTGTAATTAAAATACTCATTTAATGCATAAAAAGAGTTAGCATGTAAAAATCTTTTTAGGGCACATTCAAAGGATTTCTGGTTATTAGATAATTGTTTCAGCTCTTTAGGCAGATGATTGAAGATTTTTATACCAGAATTATATGCACCCTTTTGAACTTTAGTAAGAGAAGTACTCGGGGGAAATAGGTTAACAGTCTGTCTGGTACCAATATTATGAACCTCCGTATTTCTTGTAAACAAATGCATGTTATTTATAGTGCGTTGCATTAAGGAATATATGTATTGCGAACACAAAGGCAGAATTTTCATTTCCTTGAAAGAGTCTCTACATGAATCTCTTTTCTTTAATCCCATCATAATCCTTATAACTTTCTTTTGGATCATAAAAAGTCTTGTCATGTATGAAGAACTGCCCCAGAAGATAATTCCATATGTCAGTCACATATGAGAGTGAGGAGGGTCCATCTCTCAGTTTGTCCAAGTATTGTTGGTATTAGCTTTTCATCTCCACCACCAGCAGTCAGATGACTCCTGCAAGAAAACAACATGAATACTTGCAGTGTGCTTGAACCACTGCCTATTTTTATTTCCTCAAGGATGTCCTTTAAAAGTGTGAACACCCTTGTTGGTTCAGAAAGCAGCCCCCAGTTCAATAATGGTTGTTGCTGTTGGGGCTAAGTTACTGTAGTGGAGGGCAGTAAGGGCATCTCATCCTCTTCTTCCTCCTCCTCCTCCTTCTTCTTCTCAGAGTAAGCATCACTTTCACTATCCAGAGTTAGCTCAATTTCACTGGTCTGCAAATTCTTTTTTGAGAACATGGTAACTATCATCTACAAGCTCTCTGCTAGTATTCGTACAATCAAGTAGTATGGTAATAGTACTAATGCATTCACATTCTGTGCTGGGAAACAGTTGAAAGAAATACACTAAATTCAGTATTACATTACTTCACCTCAAAGACACAACACAGTGCATTTTAGTCTCATATCACTTACTATAAACCAGAAAAATATGACACATAACTGCATGGCCTAGAGCCTAGGGAGGGACAAGACATGTGAAGCACATTATCTGTTAGAGGTCAGCACTTTCCAACCATAGGTACCATATTTAACTTTGCCAATTCTTGAAACCCCAATTGAGGTCTTTTGTATATACTCTTGTGCATATTATGACTCCATATGGTGTCACAAGTGAAGGGTTAATTGCTCACACTAAGCTTCCTCCATCTGTTACAGTTATGATTATATCAAGCAATATCTGACCTAATAAAGGTTGGTCTTTCTATTGCTTCACAACCTCTACAAGTAATATTATTCTAGTGCATAATTCATTAAGCATTAAGCCATTAAGACACATGTGGAGTGGAGGTATAGCTCCACCATTCCTGACCTTGGTACTAGCTGGAGGCGAGCGGTCAGCCAAATTGGAATTAATAGTAGATAAATATACAGAATGGCATTGTGTTTATCTCTCACAGTATCACCTCCACAAAGAGTTTTATAAACACTGACCAATTCATTCAGAATTTATTGGAGAAACACACTTGATATCACTCTTTGCCTCGTACGACTAGGTAACCTTTCGAAAATTAGGCTGTAATGAAAATGTAAATCTTGCAAGTGTGAAACGTTCTGTTGTATTTTAATGTGGGCGAATCCACAGCACCCACTTTCTGTTACAGCATGTGGCTAAAATGTTGGTCAGACCGCCCCTCTCAATAATAATCACCTAATCGGCCCTTTCGTCGCTTTCGTCATCCAGGGATAATACTTTCTGAATTCAGTTGCTATCGGTTGCCATCAACCGGTACGACCTGTGCTGCATTTTTTGACAGAGGATCACTGGTGGCCGACGGAGGGAACAGTTGTAACCGGTTGTAACTGCTATAGCACAGTTACAATCGTTACAATTACGGTAGGATTCTACACTGACGGTAAATTCCTAAAATGCAGTGGTATTAGGAGGTTGCCAGGCCTGTATGCTGGTCGTAAAACATGGCAGTGCCGTGAGGTTCTTGCATGTATGGAAAATTTTTATGTGTGTAGTGTCGTGAAATAGCACATTTACATCAGCTGTATATCTGTGGTCAGTAATTTGGAGGATACCTCTAGTTGTGTAAGCTTAAAAGGAAATATACAAATGTCGTTGTTGTATTCTGTGTTGATAACGTTTCGAAACATGCTGGGTGAACCTATACGAAGTGCAGGTTTAACATAAATTTTCGCTCATTTGTGACCTTTGTCATTAATCTTTCAACAGTCGTAGGTGCGTATTTTGAATGGTTACAGTTCATAACACCTTCAGAATTAGCAGTTATTTGTTTTATGAACCGCACGAAGAACGTGTCTATACATATTTTCCACCTGATAACTGTAGTCATATGCCCAGTAACTTCGGTTCTTTCCTTCCTCGCAGTGAATTTTCCTACTCAGAAACAACAATTCATGCTTAAGTTTTTCGTCATTGTAGCTGTATTTTAATCTTGACTATTTATATCTGTTTCAAAATTTATGAACCAGTAATTACAGAATATGTCAGTTGTGCTGAGTTATGTACGTAGAAACAGTGTTGGTTGTTTAATCTTATTAAAGCTGTTATAAAGACTTATAAATACAATATAGCTAATCATATTTTTTTTCCCAGTGTCCTACTTTCTTGAGTATATAGTCTTTTTCTTTGAATGTAATTTGACCATTTTTGTGTGAATTACCGTTATATCAGAATATGAAGATAAAGTAGTTTTCATTTACGTAAGAGAGCATTGGATTAAGCAACTACGCATAAGAATGATGGAGATTTGCCACCTTTCCAGTGTATCTGACAGTGATATTTTTGTGGTGGACGGGGGACCAGGAGGGTGAAACGTAAAAAGTGTTTTGAATTTTTTAATATTTAAAACCAATTATGTTTTACTTTATCTGCTAATCAATAGAAATAAAATAGAAATGTATATCTGTAAAAGAAAGGTGCAAAAGTCAATCTACTGTTGGTTTCCTTTGCAGGTAGATCGTACTTATAACACAGTGTAAATAAAGGCATGACAATTTAATGCATACATTCTTTTGTCTATGAATTTAAAACACTACACACAGTTGAATAGAACTGGGTTAGTGCAGTCACTAACTGCCTGCAGGCTGGATGATCAAGGGGTTGGAGTTCAAATCCCAGTAGGGTCAAGAATTTTTACCTCACATGTTGTCCAGACTGTCTATGGTGCCCATGCAGCCTCCTATCCAATGGGTACCAGGGTTCTTTCCCCAGGGTAAAGCAGCCGGGGCGTGAAGCTGACCACTCACCTCCAACTAGTGCCAAGGTCAAGAAAACATGGGTATATACATCCACTCCTCCATACACCTTCATGGCATAGTGCTTAATTAGATAGGCACAGGGACAACTTTACCTGTTATCTTTTACACACAACTGAATTAATTTGTATAATCTTTAAGTTCACATTAGAGAGACAGCAGAAAAACAGAATATGCATCCTGGATACCAATAGTTGGTACTATTCCTATGATTTGCCATTTGAATAAAAGTGCAGTGCTGCCAATATATAGAATACATGTGTAAGTGAAACACAATTATTTTGCCAAGAGATGATGTTTGAAAGTTTAAAGTTGACATTTTTAGATAAAATGTAAATTTTAAATAACTCAGAACACTTTATTCATTTTGACTTGGAGAAACAGTGATTAAACCTGGAGCTTATAGATAAGTATCTGTATAAAACCTAGTAACTCCAGGTTGTACCCATAGAGGTGGCACCTCTAGAGCAAAAACTGGATTTCACAGTATTATGCAAGCTGTCATGTTATATATTCTTTGATGATCCATAACTGCATCGATTATTTATTCAGAATTTTTATGAACCCATTTCCAAATATAATATTTGAGCGTACAGTGACTAAGGAAATTGGAAACAATTATTAAATCCCTTAAATCCAAAAACTCGTATGGATATGATGAAATTTCGATTAAAATTGATAAAATAAGTTCTCCATTTATCTCTGCCCCTTTTATATTATATTTGTAATAGGTCAGTCTTATCCGGTTCATTTCCTACACATTTAAAATATTCTGTAATTAAGCCATTATTTAAAAAAGGTGACAAAAAAGATATAAAAAATTATAGGCCTTAAAGGTCGCGGTCATTGAATTTCTTTCAGTTGACCTAATCCTTCCAGCTACGCTAGGCCCTGGGGTTTACTCAGCCTCTAACAGAAATTAGTACCAGGAATTAATTAAATAATTTTCCTGGGGAGTAAAGCGCGGCTGGCGCATAAGGCTGAGAACCTTACTGCCATCTATGAGCCGATTGTCTAGATAATGTGGGACCCTCAGCGTCTCATAACCCTGTGAGCCTTCACGGCCTGGTACAGGGATAGCTTTACTTTTTACTTATCATTACTAACATCTTTTTCTAAAATATTTGAAGAAACGATACATATATATAAGACTTTCCAAGCATGTAATAAATAATGATATACTATCTATTGAACAGTGTGGGTTTAGAAGTAATTCTTCAACAGAAAAGGCAACGTTTAAATTCCTAAATGACAATCTTCAGGTCTTAAATAATAAGGAACTTGTGAGAGGTATTTTTTGTGACCTGGAGAAAGCCTTTGATTGTGTTAATCATGACTTATTAATGAAGAAACTGAAATTCTATGGAATCGTAACCAATGCACATGCTTTAATCAAATCATATCTCAGTGACAGGTATCAGTGAGTTCTCATTGATGATAATTTAACACAGTCTTATACTCCTTCAAAATGGGGAAAGACTAAACATGATGTGCCCCAGGGATCTGTGCTTGGACCAATGCTTTTTCTTTTTTATATAAATGACTTACCTAAAGTAGTAAATAATAATTCTAAGCCGGTCTTATTCACTGATGATACCAGCATTATTGTTAGTAACCCTAATTTACTAGACCTTAAAAATGAACTTATTTCTTCATTTGATCAATTGAATGTTTGGTTTAACACCAATTTGTTTTCAGTAAATATTAATAAAACTCGGTATATATAATTTAGAACTACTAATAGTCCAGCAATTTGATTAGATATCAATTATAATAATAAATATATTGTTAATAATATAAATGCTCCTTGTCACGGAAGAATCACATTGATGGACTCGTGGTCAAATTAAGTATAGTATGCTATGCTGTCAGATCCTTAAGACCCTTTGTCTCTCATACATCATTGAGGATGATTTACTACTCTTATTTCCATGCAGTTATGTCATGTGGTATAATCTTCTGGGGGAATTCCTCTCGTAGTATCAATATATTTAAACTGCAAAAAAGGGTCATAAGAATTATTACAAATTCTAGAAATAGGGACTCCTGTAGGTATCTGTGTAAAAAAATTAGACATATTACCATTTTACTCTCAGTATATACCCTCATTATTAATCTTTGTAACTGATATTTCCTTAAAATAAATTCGGAGTTATATGATATCAATACCAGAAGCAAAAATAATTTTTACCATTCACAACCAAGGTTATCAATTTATATAAATGTTGATCGGAATAAGTGCGTGCATATGCGAATGAATGAATGTATAAGTGTGTAATTGAAAAAATAAATAATATAAATACATAAAAGTTGAGAGGTTGGTGAGAATTAATATTTTGTGTTCTCAGTAATATGTATTTACTCATACTATTTTTGTTCATTGCACATTTGTGGCCTGTTCCAGGGTTTGTTTAGTGTGTACTTAATATGTTGTGGACATAAGAGTGTAGAATGTGTCAGTAGTTTGTGAATGTGTAGAAAGCTGATGTATTAGTCATCATGAGATAAAAGTTTATCCCTGGAAGTTAGACAGGAAGCAAGGAGTTCAAATGCAGAACTCCTGTTGCAGTCTTGTAGTATTACAAATTTTGTGTATGCCATATTTAGGAATGTAAGCTTATAATCCAACAAAGTACTGTTTCACTTATGGGTTAAATTTATCATATATGACCTCAGAGTTTTTATCATAACCATGTTTGTAGTTTTTGACTTATAAATAATACTTCGTACAGAATTTATAAGCATGTCTAAAATCTGTCTTCATGCCATATATGGCATACCTAGCACCAATGGGTTTATTGGTTATTTCCAAATGTTAAATATAGATTTTATGCAGTCCAGTGATCGAGGTTAGCTCTTTCTAGGGGTCCCAATAGAGTAGGTGTCTCCCCTCTCATATGAGAATGGAAACAGATCCAGTTTCTGGAACATTGTGTTTTCTAATTTTCAGAATACCGGACAATGGACAGAGTCCGAAAACTCAGTGATTCTGAGTTATTACACACCATCCTCAGAACCCTTTAGAATCCACTGTATTGCTTTGCATTTTACAAAAATATTTCCTTGACAAAAGTAGAATATTTTTTCTAAGATCTATTGCCATATATGATTTTGGCACCCTGTATTACAATGGCATTAGTGTTACTCTCACTCCAAAAGTGGCAAAAGTTCATGCCAAATTTTGTGAAAATGGGTCAGTACAAAATTTGAGAGGGAGAACATTATCTCAGAAATATACTTCTTTCCTTAAGAAAGGAAACAGACTGAAGAAAAAGGAAAATCAAAGACTGCAGTTAAGGTTGTGGTCTTCTGGGTTGCAACACAATGTAGCACTGGGGGCAACTGGAGGAATATGCTGCCCCTCTCTTCAGAGTTGATGTGTGTTTTTTTGGAGATAGTTTTGGTTTTATAGCCACATTACGAGGCAGGCAGTTATAAGACCCAATGTGAAGGAGTCTACCTTCTTTATAAGATGCCAATATATCCAAGCCTGGTATTGTACCTTCACACTTCAACCCTGAAGCTGGAGATAGCATGTTCCTTTGAAGTGTCAGTACCTGCCCTCAGTATTACAAGATGTCACAACCAAGCAGACCATAATCTTAATCACCATCATGAAAACCCCAAAACTTAGACTATAGTTATACAATTTGACATTTTCACAGAAGTGGTTATGGAGAAGTGGTCATTTCTTCTTAGATAAGAATGTCTTCAATAAATTTCAAACCCGTTCCACAATAAATGGGTTTTCAGACCATGATGGACAAATCTTAGTACTTGAAAATTTACAGGTGATAATGAAAAGGGACCATGTAAGAGCATTTAGGGATATCAATGATGAGAACATAGCACATTTCCAATGGGCATTACAAAGTGAAAGTTGGGAAGCAGTTTATGATCAAGAGAATGTTAATATGAAATTTAATAAATTTCATAATACCTTCTTAACAATCTTAGAAAACAGCTTTCCCCTGGTGTACAAAAAAAAAAGAAAGACACCAATAAATGGATAACCAAAGGTATACGAACATCTTGTAATCATAAAAGAGCTTTATACAACTTAGTTAAAAAATCAAAAGATGAAAGATTGGAATCATACTATAAAAAGTACTGTATGACATTAATGAAAGTAATAAAAGAAGCTAAGAAATTGTACTACCAAAAACTTATAAGTAACTCGGAAAACACAATACAATTAACCTGGAAGATTATTAATAAAGAAACTGGGAAAAGGAGGGGCCCAGAGAATATAACCGAATTGAAAGTGGGGAAAAGCAAAGTAACTTAATACTAAGGAAGTAGTAGAAGAATTCAATAAATAATAAATAACTGTAGCTGAGAATGTGGAAATGAAAAGTGCCAATAAAAATGAAGCTATTAAATTCTTAGACACTTTGAAATTTGATAAATTCCCTGAACTGAAGCTAATACTTACAACGGAGGTGGAAATAAAGAGCATACTTATGTTGCAAAAATCAAAAGATTCTACAGGATATGATGGCATTTCTAGTAAGATATTGAAATACTGTATAACTGAGATAAGTAAATCATTGTGTCACATATTTAATGCATCTTTTGAGCATGGAATATATCCTGATAGAATGAAATTTGCCTCATTAAGACCTATATACAAAACAGGTGAGAAGGCAATTACGGCAAACTGTAGACCAATATCATTGCTAATAAGTTTTTCTAAGACTTTTGAATGAGTGATGTACAATAGGATAAAGCAACACATACGAGTACATACAAACAATTTAATGTATTTTGCAGAGTTTGGATTTAGAGAAAACAGTAACACAGAAATGGCAATATATACATTAACTAATCATATTTTAGAAACGTTGGAAAGATGCAATCACTCATTGGGAATTTTTTTTGTGATTTGACAAAAGCATTTGACTGTGTGAGTCATGATATTCTTTTGAGTAAATTAGCAACATACGGCATTGGTGGTAAAATAAAAATATAGTTGAAGTCCTATCTGGAAAATAGAGGACAAAGAGTTGAACTCTGTAATAATGAAAATGGAAAATGCTGTTCAGACTGGGGAACTGTCAAATATGGAGTGCTACAGGACTCGATTTTGGGTCCTTTGTTGTTCCTTTTATATATTAATGACCTGCCATCAGCATTAAGTACTAACAACAAGTCATTGTTGTATGCCGATGATACAAGTATATTAGTGTCAGGTATTAATATCGATGAAATTCAAGAAAGGTCTAAACTTATGTTAAATTCCTTAAGTCAGTGGTTTAAATACAATGGCTTATCCCTAAACTTGAGGAAAACTAAAGTGTTAAAATTTGAAACAGTCAATCATGACAATATGCCTGTACATTTAAAGTTTAACGACGAATTATTACAAGAGGAAACAAATATTAAATTTTTGGGCATTGAAATTGATAAGTGCTTGAATTGGAGGACCCAGGTTGAATCATTGTTACCCAGATTGGGAAAGGCATGTTATGCAATACGAATTATGAAACCATACAGTAATGTTACAACACTTAAAATGATATATCATGCATACTTTCATTCACTCATGAGATATGGAATATTTTTTGAGGGTAATTCGTCAGAGGCCAAGAAGATCTTTCTCTTACAAAAGAAGACTATTAGAATAATAATGGGGATGAAACATAGAGAGTCATGTAGGCCAGCATTTATAAACTTAAATATATTAACACTGGTGTCTCAATATATTTTATCTCTGATGACTTTTATGATAAATAACTTAGAGTATTTTACTTTTAATTATTCAATTTATGAGAGACCAACAAGACACAAAAGAAATTTACATGTCCAACAAGACACAAAAGAAATTTACATGTCCTACAATCACATCTCGCAATGAGGCAGAAAGGGGTCCATTGTATGAGTATAAAAATATTTAACAATCTGCCCGGATATTTATCTAACTTAGTACATGATAAAAACAGTTTATAAAAGGACTAAGAGATGTCCTAATACACAATCCGTCATATACTGTTGATGAATTTTTGCTCTTCTGTCAGGATCAACAGCTAAGGAATAGAAGGGGAGTGCATGCTGACTGATGGATGTCCCACAGTAGGCATTAATATAGACATTAAGTGTAAGTGTTAAGTTAAGGAAGGAGAATTATTATGTATTGCTAATTATCTTGTTGGTATAATTGTATGTGTAACATTGTATCTGTTTAATTGAGGTATTCAGTTTAGATTTTAAGTATGGTTGAATTGATGTCTCTGTGATTTTATCTGTGATTGTCTTGTGACTGTTGTTTGACAAGTTTTATATTCAGTGCCAGTTGCACACTTATGAATACTCTGAAACGCTGATGTATGTATGTAAAGGTTTTGTCTTCTGGGGTATAATGTAGTGCGGTCCAATGAAAGTCAACAGACATTTTGGTGGAACATGTTGCCTCCATCTTCAGGGTCAAAGAGTAAGCGAAGCAAGAAATCAGCATGAACCAGACAGCAAGCAGAACAGTTTGCTTGCAAAAAAAAAAACGGGATTATATACAAAACTGGTGTGAACTGCAAGAAAACTCATCAGGTCCCACTGCATCCCTTGGAGAAATAGTGAACCAACATGATACAAGAGAAAAATAACTAAGATCAGCCCCTAAAGTGGCTATCTAGAACTGAGACTATGGGGAAGAGAAGTGGCAAACATTGTGTATGGGCANGGGGGGGCAGAGAAAAGAAAAGAGAGTGTGGGAGAGAAAATGTGTGTTGTAGGCATGCAGTGGGTGATAGGAACAAGAAGAATAGTGGATAAAGACCATGAGAGGAGGAAAGGCTTTTGGCTGATGGGTGCATGGAGAGGTAGGATTTTGTAAGTGAATTATTCTGCTTGCTGCCTGCTTCAGGCTGACTCATTAACTCTGAAGATGGAGTTGATATGTTCCTCCAAAACATAGGCTGACTCTCGCCAGGCTACATGGCATTATATTCCATCAGATGAAACTCTTCTTACATTGTAGCTGCTGCACGTATTTGAGAACTAAGTTAAGACAGTTAAATGAACTGTTTCTGTATATCACAGATTTCCAGCCATTGCCAACAAGCACATTGGTATCTCGGAAGGATTTTTGGATGGCAGCAAGGAATTTTAAAATAATCGTAATTTCTTAATTATTCATTGATGGTTGAAAAGTACGTGGTGGTTTCTCCTTTATGAATGCAGACCTTGCGCGTGTTCTCACTGTCTCTTCTCCTGCAGATTTTCTTATTTTTCCTTCTACCCTGAAGATGGAGGCGATACATTCCTCTGAAACGTCGGTTAACACCACGTCTACATGGTGCCACATCCCAGAAGACTGCTTTCTTCAATTATTTTACAGTTTCATTAATATATGTCAGGGCAAACTGATGAAGCATTAGTTTGGCTCAGGGACATCCCATCTCCTTACAATAATTCTGATGTTAATATAATCTTGATTGTTGTTTCTTATGTCCGTTTTAGATGGCTGAAGTTAAGGTTACAGCCCCTGATCTTAATAAATGTGATCATGATGACACATCAAGCTCTACATTGATGAAAAGCACAGACTTTGAAATGGATCGGCAGTTACCAAATCATGAATCCAATTTAGTACATAGTGAATCAAAAATCAAAACAGACTATCTTGAGAATCTTTTAGACATTCCTGATGAGAATCTTAAGGAGAATTTCAAGGAAAAAGTGGGTCCTCAGCTTCAGGAAACACAGCCAAACCATTTGAATAATATATCAGATCTAATAGTTGCAGGCACTTCCACTGAAAATGTAGGACTAAATTACCACAATCAAATTGATGAAGACAGTACTTTAAACAAAATACAGAATGTTGATTCTTCAGTTGCCGCTTTGTCATCTGTTCCATTCAGCAACATTGCCACTGATACTGTTAACACAGAAAATATAACATCTGGAGATGCATTAAATTCTGGAACAGTACCACAAACTATGCAGTCTTCTTGCAACCAGGACTACAATAATGCCTCAGGTTTGTTCACTAGTACAACAGATACAACATACCAGAATAATCAAGAACAAATGAATAATTCCTTGAAACTGATTTGTGACTATGGAAGTGATTCTGATATTGATGACATTATTGAAATGGGTTCAGCACCAGAGGCCAGTATTATTGGGCCCTCAGAAAATGCAAAGTCATTCCTGAATGATTATAGAACGGCTCAAGTGTTATTTTCTGAAGACTCTGATGATGATTCTGATAGTTCAGATGAGAAATCAGACAGTGACAGCTCCACTAGTTCCAGCAACAGCAGTAGCAGCACCAGCAGCAGTAGCTCTTCAGTAAATGCAGAAAATGCATCAGCTCTGAGAAGGTATGTGGATAAATATTATACAAGAGAATATGTGGTAAACAAAGAGAAATAACTACACCATAAAGTATATTAGCACGTCCATTAGTGTAATGGTTGCAAGCAAATTTAAAGAATTGTATATGACATTTGAGGTTCTTATGGTAGGGAGTGTAAAGAGAGGTGTGGTACCATGTAGTCTAGTAGAAGTTAATGAACATTCCTGTGATACAACAGTGAACTTCTACCAGTAGCTACAGTAGATGTACAGGAAGGATGAGGGAACTGTCTTTACATGTATTTTTATATTCAGCAGGTCCAAGTATGGTGACAGGTTGGTTAAGATGGGTTTCATCTTATTTGCAAGCACTTGTGAAGACAGTAAATAAGTTTTCATGTTAACATTTTCTTCTGCTAATGCTTGCTACAATTCAGTCCAGAATCTTTTGTCTTCTCATCTGCTGTCCAAAAACAAAAATTAGAATACACAAAACTATCATTTTGCCCGTGGTTCTGTATGGGTGTGAAACTTGGTCTCTGACATTAAGGGAGGAACATAGACACAAGGTGATGAGAATATTTGGATCGAAGAGGGATGAAGTGACAGGAGGTTGGAGAAAACTGCATAATGAGGAGCTTCATAACTTGTATTCTTCTCCAAGTGTAATTAGAATGATCAAGTCAAGGAGGATGAGGTGGGCAGGGAATGTAGCACGAATGGGGGAGAAGAGGAATTTATGTAGCATATTGGTGGGAAAGCCAGAAGGAAAGAGACCACTGGGAAGACCAAGGAGTAGGTGGGTGAACAATATTAAAATGGATCTTAGAAAGATAGGATTTTGATGGTATGGATTGGATTGATCTGGCTCAGGATAAGGACCAGTGGAGGTCTCTTTGTGAACACGGTAATGAACCTTCTCAAGAAGGGCTCAGCTCTGTAAGTAATTATTATTATTATTATTATTATTATTATTAGAGGGGGTGGGTTTCCCCATGCACCGCAACTAATAGTCTATTGTATGTCTCCTTTTATATTCTACCAGTCGCCATACCCTGCTGGTACTGGTGCTCACTATCAGCCCTGTTCAACCAGCGAGGCTGGCAGCGGTACCCGATACTACCCCATCTCCCGGAGGCATTGGGAACTACTTGGGTGGGAAACTTGCCTAATTTTGCTCAGAGGTCTCCTAGAGACATGAGGGTCTTTTATGTGCCGTAAATCTACGACATGGGACCCACGGCTTAAAGTCCCTCCCAGAGGACTTGTTCCCTGAATTTTTCCGCCCTTAAAAATTCCACAACCTCCGCTGGGTTTGAACCTGCGTACCTTGAGTCATGAGGTGGGAACTTTACCCCTAGACTATGGAGGCCGCTTGTAAGTAAGCAAGCAAGCATAAATCGAACACTGTAAGAGTTTCATAATTGATACATTATGAATATGTTAAAGGGCCTAAGTATATGGGCACCATGTTCTAAAGTTATTTTAAATTTTATTTCAATATTTGGGCAGTAGGCGAGACATACGTAGGCATTTTTATGGGAACACGTTTTGACATTGGCCCTCGTTAAATTGGTCAGTCAAAACCAGTTTTGAATTGCAGGGGGCATGCTGCTTTACATGTACCCAAGTATGGGTTTGGGAACGTTTGATGTACAAATTTGGTTAGATTTAGTATAAGATTTTCCTGATTCAAGCCCAGGATGATACTGTGGAAGGGAGATCGGAAAATGTCCCTATGATGTACTGATTTGTTTATTTACTGGGGGTTAGCAGTGTGGATGAGATGATAAGTCAGTTGCTGACTGTACATAATCTGTTTATAAACTTCAAGAAAGAGTATGATTCAGGTAGGAAAATATTGCAAAAGATGCTCTTCACATAAGATATACATAGGGAAGTAAAAAATTATCTGCACTCTTGCTTTTCCAAGTTATATACACAAAAGTAGGGGTTGAAAAGTACGTCATTTTTCTACATAGTCTCCTTCCTTTTCGATGCACTTGGTCCAGTGTTCCATAAGCTTGTGTATTCCCTCCAAGAAGAAGGTTTTCGGTTGGTCATGCAACCATTTATACTCCGCTTCCCGCACTTCTTTGTCCGTAGAAAATCGATGACCTCGTAAAGCATCTTTGAGCCATCCAAAGAGATGGTAGTCAGAAGGGGTGAGATCTGGGCTGTAGGCAGGGTGTTCCAGCACCTCAAAACCCAAATGGTTAATGGTTTCAACGGTCTTGCTGGCCATGTGTGGGCATGCATTGTCATGCAACAACACTTTCTTTGACAGTAGGCCTCGACGTTTGGTGCGAATTGCTGGCTTCAGATTGTTAGCCAGCAAATCACTGTATCTTGCACTGTTGATCATACACACTTCTTCCAGGTAGTCTTCCAGTATAGGCCCTTTTGAGTCCCAAAAACGGTTACCATCACATTTGCCATGGAAGATTGAGTCTTGAATTTCTTCTTCGTTGGCGATCCTGGGTGTTTCCATGCCAAACTCTGGCTTTTGGATTCTGGCTCATAGTGATGGACCCACGTTTCAACTCCTATGACTATTCTGCTCAAAAATTCTTTGCCTTCACTGTTGTAACAGTTCAGTAAACTTCGGCAGATCTAAGCATGTTTGCGCTTATGCTCTGCGGTAAGCTCTCTTGGCACCCATCTCGCACAGACTTTATGGAAGCTGAGCTCGTCCTGGATGATTCTATAGGCAGCACCATGACTAATCTCCAGAGAACATGCTACCTCATCGATGATAACTCGCCGGTTCCCCAGTACCATCTCTCAAGTTTGCTGAATCTTCTCGTCAGTGGTGGAGGTTGACAGGCGTCCTGCTCCCTTTTCGTGCATCACGCTTGTCCGGCCGCTTTTAAACTTCTCGATCCACTCATACACACTTCTACATAGTAGAGCACTGTCCCAGTGTTGTTGAAAGCCTCCGATGAATTTCAGCCCCTGACACACCTTCCAACCAGAGAAATTGGATCTCTGTTCTTTGTTCCTCCTTGGTGCACACTGCTAGCTGAGCAGCCACATTTACACTGTTACAGCATCAAGGAAAATGATGCGATGAAGGTCAGACTTTGATAACATGACCGCAGTAGTACCAACTCTAAGCATGCATGCGCAGAAGGCAGTGTGACAAGCCTAAGATGTGTTATGGCGAAAGTGCGGATAATTTCTGACTTTCCCTTGTACCACAGTGAAACTACTTAGGCCAATTAAAATATGTTTCAGCAAAACTTATAGTAAAGTCTGTATGAATATGCATTTATGTGATGCTCATATTATTCAGAATGGTCTGGCATAGGGGATATTGGATTTTAGGTTCTGTCAGCAGTGGCAGTGGAGGAGTTCTCTCTTTTGACGTAGAACATTGTGTAGTCCAGTAAAAGTCAGCCACCAATCTGGAGGTACATGTCACCTCCATCTTATGGGTTGAAGAGTAAGCTAACAAGAAACTAGAATGAAGCATGCAGCAAGCAGCTGCTTTATGCTTGTTTCTTGCTTAACTTACTCTTTGGCCCTGAAGATGGAGGTGACATGTTCCTGTGAAATGTCACATGAGTTTCAACAGACAATGTATCCTAAAAGACAAAACTCTTGATGCAACAGATGTTTTACCATCATTGCTGTTCAGTTTTGCTTATGATATGACATTAGGAAGGTCCAAGATAATCAGGAGGGATTGGAATCAAATAGAGAACTTCAGCTTCTGACCTATATTGATGTTATGTTAATTTAGCAAATACATAAATACATTAAAAACCACAGAAACTCCTTCAGGCACCAGTAAATAGGTCACTCTGAAAGAGAGCATACAGAAAACTAAGTATATGTTTATGTGTCATCAACATAATGCATCATAATATGAAGGTGGCTAATAAATCCTTCAAAACTGTGGTAGTAAATCTTAAATGGAGATTACACTAGGTGCATAACTTATAATTAATTAGTTCTGCTCTGTGATAGGCTGTCTATTGTAGTATTGCATAGTGATTTTGCATACCGTCTTGAAAAGGAGAAAGGTTCTAACATGGTAGATAGCCAACAATGGTTCAAGATTTTGGCATGATTTGCACCTGAAACATGACTATATACTGTATGTGAAGCATTTCCTAATGCTATTCTTTTATTATCTAGGGTTGTTAATAATAATGAACAGAATAATACTCCCAGACCTAAGAAGAAAGATCCTATAAAGACCAGGGGAGAGATTCTCATTGAAGACCTACCTCCTATTCAAGATCTTCAAATTAATGTGCCTGCAGAAGATTGTATTCAGTTAGGCAAAATATCTAGCATTGTGGACCAACTGGGTATGTGTGAGAGTTAATTTTCATACCTATTAGACTGATTGTAGGGATATTATTTTAATCTCTTAAACTCTATTCATGTGGAATATACTTGTATATGAATCCATGAAAAGGTTAAGCTATCTCTGTAACAGGCCATGGAGGCCCATAGAGTTGTGAGACATCGAGGCTCCCACATTTTCTAGACAGCTCACAGATGCCAATGAGGTCGTCAGCTGTATGCACAAGCTGCCCTTTACCCCCAGGAAGATTCCTGGTGCTCATTTCTGTTATAGGCTGAGTCAACCCCAGGGCCATAATAAGCTGTAAGGATTAGGTCAATTGAAAACTCCAGTGACCTCATTGACAATTGAGCCTGCAACCATCTGGCTTGTAGCATAGTGCCTCAACAAACTAGGCTACCATATACCCACATATGAGTCCATAGCAATACAATATTGATACTGTCATTGACGTTACTTTAAGAAACATAAAAATCTGATTTAATAGTTTGTTGGGTGACTTCATGTTTTTAACTGTAGATATGCAGACCTAGGCATGAACAATTTCAGAGTAAAGATCCACTTTCTTAAATGTTGAGGCAGCATAATGGACATGCTAGATCTGAACAAAGCAGATAAAGTATCAGTAATTATAAAAAAAATCTGTGGAAGTTGTCAAAATCTAAATCTTATATACGGATTAGGAAGAGATAACTGCTAAATATACATTGATCAACAATTACATGAACTATTAATTCAGTAAATGTGAGAAGGAACATGCAGTGGCCTGAAAAGGTGAATTTGAAATTATGTAGTTAAATATATTTGGTACTAGCAAATTGAATATACTTTGTCAAGGTTTTTCCCTAAAATAAACGTACCAAAACAATAAATTCCTAATTTATAAGACTGCCTTGTCAGTGTGTATTTCCATGGAGACCCCCCCCTCCTTACAAAACCCATCAAAAGTGCTAAATTTCAGTTATCATGATGGTCTTACTTAGTGATCACTTTATGCACTATAAAAGCCAATTATGGCTGCCTAGTAATCAGAAGGAGTGGAGAAACCTGAGATCTGCCATTTAGCACTGTGGTGATGTATAATAATCACATAATGCATTAAATGGTTGCTGAACAATGAAATGATGGTGGATGTGGCATACTCTGTGGGCCAGTTATGGTCACCTAGTTAGTAATGATAAAAAAGTGGAGAAATTAAAAAAAAAAGGCAGGGGCCTGTTGAATTGATGGTAAATTCAAGATATTATCACATGTACGTGTGACGAAATGATGGGATCTAGTTTGGATGATTGGATTTATTGGCACTTCAGTTACACTCTCTTTCTTAATTCCAATTAATACAGCGCTACTGCTGATTCCACAACTTACAATTGCATGTTGCACGCGCATTAGGATTCTCTGTTTCCACTAGTCATCTCCTAGCAACGGATCTCAACACAGACACTGTCACTTCAAATCACTATGAAAGCTTCTTGTCAATCACTCTGTACTCCTCTGTCCTAATTTGTACTCAGTCTTCACAATTCATGTTCCAATCCTGTCTTTGTACTCTCAACTGCTGAACCCTTCTGGACTTTCCACTGACTTAACCATAAACAGATATTTGTTATATAGGTTGCAGTTTATATTCCCTACAGAATGAACAAATATGTTGTAAGATGAGGCACTGGCTAAACAAGTAATGTCAGTACGATACTACATTCATACCACGGGCCTCCAAAACAGTTTATTACATGTACACAAAATCTGGAATATACCATTATGTCCGCGGGAATATAACAAAACTGCAGCAACCAACAACTGACTTGATGATACAGGGTGGCGCAAAAAGGTGGGAACTTTTGAAAATAGAGAAAAAAATACAATTCTTTTTTTTTTAATTTAATCAAGGTACTCAATGTGCACTTCTACATTGGAAATTTAAAAATAACTCACAGTTTGAAAATAACATCGCGAAAATGATGTCCATCTTGCCGAATACACTCTGCAAGTCGATCCTGAAAATTGCGCATGGCTCGGAGCAAAGTGTCGGGTTGTATTGCTGCGATCTCTTCTGTTATTCGTCTTCTAAGTTCGGCTAGGGTTGTGGGGCGTGTATCGTAGACCACGCTCTTCAAGTAACCCCATAAATAAAAATCACACACTGATAAGTCTGGGGAACAGACGCCTGACCGCTGCCATTGACACTCGTGCGGTGTGTGCGGTCGCCCCGTCCTGTTGAAACCAAGTGTTTTCGATATCAATGTTCGGTACACTGTGAATTCTTGCAGCAAGAAACGTCTCAAGCATGGTTACATAACGCTCAGAAGTTACTGTCACCGTGTTTCTTTCGATATCTTCAAAAAAATATGGTCCTATCACCCTTCGAACCGAAACTCCACACCATACAGTGACCTTGTGGCTGTGTAGAGGTCGTTGATGAAGAACAGCAGGATTTTCTTGTGCCCAGTACCGACAGTTCTGCTGGTTCACATACCCGTTTAAATGAAAATGAGCTTCATCTGACATCCACAGATTTTCAATGAAATCAGGATTCTCGTCAGTTTTGTTCATTATTGCTTCACAAAACTGTCGGCGCAACAAATGGTCATTAGGTTTCAGTTCTTGCACCAGTTGCAGTTTATAGGGATGAAACTTGAGTTCATGGAGTATTCTCTGGACAGACCGACGACTTACAGTCACTGCCGCTGCGACTTTCCGTACTGAGCGATGTGGACTTCTCAAGACGGAGGCTTGCACGGCTTCGACATTTTCCGGAGTCCAAGCACTTCCTGGACGACCAGAAGACTTTCTCTTTCCCACTGAACCAGTCTCTTCGAAATTTTGAACCCACGTTCGAATTGCATGTTTAGATGGAGCGTGGGCACGAGGGGCAAGGTTGAAATGCCGCCTAAACTCCCGTAAGGCCTCAACCAAACTGTCGCCGTGTCGATAATAAGCCCGCACGGCTACTACGCGTTCTTGAACGTTCAACTGTTCCATGGCTACTAAACCTCCAGTGCTACTCTACAACTTACCACCCTCCCCACATTTCTTCTCCCCTCACACTGCTGCCAACATCACATTCAAAAGTTCCCACCTTTATACGCCACCCTGTATAAAACATCAAATGAAGAGTCTTAACTTTGTTTTACCCTATAACTTTCATTTTTATATAGTCTAGTTCATTGTACTTTTATGCCAAGCATTTTATAATGTAATAATTGTCATGTATTCAGTTTACCAGTACCGCAGTTCAGTGGTGTGATTATGTTAATCATGTATTTGCCTGATGATGGCTTTAATAGCCGAAACATGTAGCCGAGCCAATCTTGGCCTTGGCCTTGGCCTTGACCTTGATATAGTTGTGTTGTGATGGATTTTAATAAAGAAATTCTATATTATAACAACAGGATGCACAAAATGAAAAAAAGAAAAAGATTTAAACGCTCATTACTTTTCAATGAAAACTTTATAAATTATATTTATCAGTATGTATTTATTTTCAGATGGTGTTTAAACTGTGTCACTTGGGGACAAACTATCTATGTGTGTTTAAAGTTATCATTATCTTAAAGTATGAACTAACACAGTTTACGTTAGTGTCCAGAATGGTACTTGTGCTTGGGATTTAGGTCATAGATATTTTATTCTTCCTGTATATGGTTTCTAACTATCTTTCTTATGTCTCCAGATGGATTGAATAATATTTACAGTGTTTCATTATGGTAATTTAATGCTCAATGCCAAAATAAGGCAAATCACAAAGTGCTTTCAGTCCAGAATCATGTGGGATACTGTTTTCGGCTGTTTTACTTTATATTTTTTGTGTTTCATTCTTATAATTGCTTTATAAATTGTTGATATTTTTAAATGCAATAGAACGTAATTGTATATTATGCATTTGATGAATGTATAATAGCCAAATAAATCAGTATGCTAATTAATAAAACTCTTCTGTTTCAGTTGTTGTTCAAGCTTTCAAGAACACTCCTCCCCTTGATTTAGACAGCATTTTGTTTCTTGATCATGGCAGACAAACTTTAGGACAGATTTTTGATGTATTTGGTCCTGTCTCAGAACCTTTATACTGTGTCCGGTTTAATTCAACTGACCACATTAAAGAGAAAGGAATAGAAAAAGATATGGCAGTCTATTGTGCTCCCAAAACACAACACACTTCATATGTATTTGTTCCGGATCTGTTAAGGTAATATTTTATTTGTGAAACTAATTAATGCGTACTCATTGAGCTGGTAATGCAAGTTACGTTAAAAAAGAAATGCCATACAGAATTATTTAATAAGGATTTAATATTGTAGACAATCAGATTGGAACTTGAAATGTATAATTAGTAAGGTAGAATATTTTTTTTGTTTGGAACTGTTTAAAATATACTGCATACAGGTGTGGATTGAGAAAGTTGGCTATGCAAAGACAAACTTCCCATACTGGCCTTGAATACAAGACAGGCTTGAGCATGGAATGTGGTGCTAAATTTTCCTTTCCTGACAGCGAGAAAGCAAAAGTGTATCTTAGGCACAGTCATAAAATATTCATGTAGGTTTGAGGTTCTCGCAGCCTTGGTTACTCTCTTCTGGGGTATAACACCGTGTAGTCCATGGAAAGTTAACCAACATTCCGGAGGGACATCTAGCCTCCATCTTCAGGATTGAATGAGTCTGGCAAGATACCAGCATGAAAGAAGGTGGCAAGAAATTTTGGATTATGTAGGAAGCAGGAGGGAAATGGAAGAGTGGACCTCAGTTCCCACTGGCTTGCCATGGGACAGAATGAAACCACTGGGCTCTCTCATGACCACTGAGCAAACCAATAGGAGATAATAGGAGTTTATGAGGCCCCAAAAAGGGGCATTGTTGCTGGTCTAGGAAGAAGACATTGAAAAGGGTATGGGTGTGTTGGACACTGAACCGATTTGTAAGGGAGAGATCAAGTGAGTGAGTCACACGCAAGCTGGACTGAGGGATGAGGGAGCAGAAAGGAAACCGGGATATCAGGGTGGAGGCTGGTGAGTGCCCAGAGAGGCCATATTTTGTGCCCTAATAAGGGCAATGTACATGGATCCCAGTGGTCTTGTGGAGAACCAAGATCTATTGTCACGTGAGGGAGGCAGATGAGAGGTTTCCAAGACATGCTCAGACAGAAACTATCATCCCCGTTCATATTGCTGGGATGGAGCTCAATCTAAGTTGCCTCCCTGATGATGCGATTCATATTGTAACGTGTTTACGTTACTGAATACGCCGTAGAGATCGTTAACTGGTTTATTGAACAATCTACAACTATCGGCTACACTTAATTATCACAATGTTGCGGGGTTTCACACTTTATAACCCTAATCGCATTAATCTGTCGACACTGTTGCGGGGTTTCACGACTTATAACCCTATGCGCAAATCAGTTCACTCTGTCTTCAGTAGTATACACGTTGACAGTAGGGGAGCTATGTATCACTGTATCACACGCTCCCAATTACACAATCGCACACACGTCCGGATCTTCTTACCGCGACGGCTGCTATACTCCAACTGTAGTCGGCTGGCTGTTACTTTATAACTCGGAATGTCTTCGGCGGTAGCCACACTGGAACTCGAACTCGAACTGATCGATACGCACTGTGCATCCACTTATATAGCTGCAGTGCTTGCCTGTGGCGTAATGAGTGCCACGTCACAGTAGGACGTTGATTACGGTTACGTTAGCGTTGCGCGTTACGTCACCGCGTGACGTCACCGCGGAGGGGAGTGGCGGGGAGCGCTACGTTACCGTGGAGAGGAGGGTGGAGGGGGGTTCTCAGTCGCGCAACATGTTACAATATGTTGATTTGGGGGACGCAGTGCCCCAAGTTGATATTGTGTTTTGCCACGGCTCATTAGTCCGGATGTTCTAGACAGGTATGTCTCTAGTGCTCCTTCAACCTGGTGTCAGTTGAACGGTCCATCTGCCCAATGTAGACCTGACCACATTCACAAGGGATACTGCAGCATCTTCTATCCCAGGTCATTGTTAACTGACTGAAGGAAACTGGATTCTTTCCTGTAAGGGAGGCCCACATACTTGATGTTGTGTTGAGACAGCACCCTGCTGATACAGTTGAATATTGACCTCACATAAGGAAGGAAAGTGACTGAATCTGGCTCTTCATCGGCTGGGTAACCCTGGGGCGACGTTTGGTGGTCCTGCCCATCTGCCAGTCAGTATAGCCATTCTGCCTGAAAATTTATTCCAGAAACACCAACTGCACATAAAGGCTGTCCTGATCATACAGATCTCTAGCCCAGTGTACCAGTGTGGAAAGTACGGCATGCTTATTGGATGGGTGGTGATGAGAGCTAGAGTTTACGTAGAAGTTAGTATGAGTAGCTTTATGGTACACTTTATGGCCCAGATAGCCATTGGGTCTCCTGTAAATATGTGTCAAGGAAGGGCAGGTGGCCATCTCTTTCCATCTCCAGGGTGAACTGAATGCTCTGGTGGACACTGTTTAGGTAATCAAGGAAGTCCCAATAGCCAGATGACAAAAGTGTTATCCATGGACTGGAACCAGCAGAGGGGCTTACGAGCATTCTGGTCAAGCACCATCTCCTCAAAATGCTCCATGGTATGAAGATGTTGGGGATGACCAGAGACAGTGGTGGACCCATAGCCATTCTGTCAATTTATTCATAGAACTGGCCAGTGAAACTGATGTATGAGGTCAGGGCATGGTGGAAGAACCTCAGGATATCCTCAAAATGTTACCTTAGCAGACTCATGGTCTCCCTAATCAGCACCCTGGTGAAGAGTGACACCACATTATATCCTCTGGCCTGGCACGGAGAGAACCCAATGTGCAAACCATGTTTGTCGAGTTCTTTATGTCTTTATGTGGTGTGAGGAGTTGCCAGTATGAGAGCCCAGTAGGCCCACCAGGTGTTTTGGTAAGCAATAAGTGGGGGCTCTAATGGTGCTCACAGTAGACCTCAAGGGAGCCCCTTGCTTGTTAATATTTAGCAACCCATACAGTCTCAGGGACCTGGAGCCCTGCAGCGAAAGTTGTTGACAGACTTCCTCAGAAATTGAGGATTCAATGGACTACATGGCATTATATTCCAGAAGATAGTACTGTTCATAAAATATTCTGTTACCTCATACTTTTACAAGAGTGCTGCTATGCTGGTTATGTTATTTAAAGAATCGCATCATAATGGTAAGAGTTGCTGGTAAACCAGTTCATCTTTCATGTAGGATCAAAGGATCAGATGCCTCATGGGAAGACAACAATGAACCTCCACCCAGATTCCTTGATTATTCTGATGATGAGGGCGAGCGAAGAGCAAGGAGGTCATTGCAACTTGAGGAGAGAAAGGTATAAATGTTAATGATTAATACAAAAGTACTGAAGCACATAAAATAATTTTGATTTTATGACAGTAACCATTGAACCATCGTGTGTAGATGACAAAAAATGTTGCGGTAGCATACTTAAAAATTTTGTGTGATTGGAGATAATGAACACGTATGTTGTAAGGTACCAAGATGGTGGTTGCTTGAATATATAAGATTATCTTTCAACAGAAAAGAAAGGCAGTCTTGAATGTAGTACATCTGCTTAAAACTATTCATTCCTGCTGTTATTTGCTATTGTAATAATGCCTTATACTCATATTGTATTTCCTGATTATGTAGGCCTGCATTACAATTGCATTTGTAGATTCATATTTGTTGCTTATGTAGACCAAGTGGTGTTTTAGAAACAATACTTTAGATATCACCAACTTCAAAATTTGGGTGTTGCAGGTCACAGATGAAAGCCCTGAACAGCCAAAGAAGAAGAAGAACCGCAGTAGTTCTTTTGAAAGGAGGATGAACGAACGCAACCTTCGCATGACTGCTTTACATGCTAATAAGCCTGCAACAGTAGCCATTAGAAATGGTAATAACAATAACAACAGTAACAGTAATCCATTCCAACCATTTGACAATTCTACATGGTGGACTGGTCCCATTCCCCCAACCCCTAGATTTCAACATTGTCTCAGTAGGCCACCCCCACCTCCTTGTACACCATCTGCACCCAGACTTATTCAGCCACCAGCATTCACCCTGCCCCCACCAACAGCACCACCATTTTTCCCTTCAATCCAGCCCCCATTCTTGCCCTACAATCAAGTTTTCCCTCCCCCGGTTCCTCCCTTTGATCCAAATCGTCCACCTCCGTCATTTGGGTTTCCTCCACCTATGCCTCAGATGCCACAGCGTCATCCCCCACTATGACCATGTTGGTGGTTGTGATGGTGTTAGAGGGCATTTCAACTAGTCTCTATTTGTCATTCTTCAAGAAAGTTACATTGAGGAAGCTCTTGGGAAACTTGTGAAGCCAGCAGCAGAATTATTCCTGTAACTGATATAGCAGCTCTGTGAAATGTGTGTTTAATTAGGAAGAACTGTCATTCTTATGTTGGTGCTATGAACTTTATATTTTTTCTCTTGTATACAAATTCATACTTAGTTCCTGTCACCATATTGCATCTTCAGTAGAATGTTTTAGTTATTGTTTATATTATGATTCAATAAACCTTTACAGTTATTTTATTATTCAAACTGATTTTTGTATTTAATAATTATTATGTAATGATACATTTTGTATTACTACAAATACCATAGGAAATTAAATGCTTGGCAGTTTAAAGGTCAAAAGTATGTACAATGCTAAAAACCCTTATTAAACAAGCAACTGTCTGCAGGCGGAGAAGGGATGCAACAAGATTTTGGTTTTTGATATGAAGTGAAAGGAGATCTTAATGTTTCCTTAATATGTTAAACCAGTGATAATACAGGAATTCATAATCTTTGTGTCATATGTTTTTGATTATATAGCTCAGTTCAGTAATCTGGTTTTAAATATTGAAAACTGTCAAAGTATTATCTTGTGATAGTGCTGCACATATGTTGTATGTCTACAATTTGTATTTTCTGTACTCATTGTGAGTACCTACTGAAAGCATGTGTAAACTCTATTAAGGAGAATTGGTTGATTAAATGCTCAAAAGCACCCATTTTTTTGTCTGGTACTTTTGTAAAAATCTCTGTTGCAATATCTGAATTGCGTCTTTGTTATGAAAATCTTATAAAGCATGGATGTGGACAACTAAATCCATTTTGGAAAAACCCTCTGATACCTTCTCCATATGTTCAGGAATATAATGCCATTGAAATCACCTCTTTAAGCCAAATAGATCACAAGGTATCAGAAGGTAAAAACAGAGTGATGGTACATTGGTGTATATAGGTTGTTTCTTGCACTAAAAGTATGCTGGTTAAGGTCACATAGTAAGCAGACACATGAATTCGCACAGGACAATGGACAGAATAATTTTAAATTATAGATAATATGTATATATATTGTCACGTGCTTTAGTGACTAAAGATGCGGGTTTGGATCAATAAGGCGATTTATTGTATATGCACTAATCGTAACTACAAATAATTATAACACTTCCAAGATTACTATAATGTCATGTGTATTAGTGACTAAAGAAATGAGTTAGGGCTGCGCCATAGCTCGAGCGGTTAGTCGCTGGCTTCCCACCTGGGGATCTATCCCGGGTCTGGTCAAGTGGGATTTGTGGTGGACAGAGTGGCGCTGGGGCAGGTTTTCTCCAAGTACTTCGGTTTCCCCTGCCAATCTTCATTCCACCAATTGCTCCACAATCACCCTCACCTATCATCTGGGGCTGGTACAATAGGCCAGAAGTGGCCGCAGTACAAGGGATTTAGTCTCACCCCACTAACAATAATAAAACAAAAGATGCGAGTTTGGATCAGTGAGTCAGTTTACTGGATATTCACCGGTCATAACTGCAATTAATTATGACACTTTCAAGATTACTGTAATTATAACACATAAATAAAGTCTTCTATATCTGCTTTAACTAGTTGTTGCTAGGTAACAGATCTAAACAATGGCTATTCCTGTGCAAAGTTTTCCCTATCCATTTCCTGGCAATGAATTTTAACACAAGAACTGTATCTGTCACACTCCAGATATCACTGCACTACAGTACACATAGTCCTCAAATCACACATAATGTCTTCACAGGCTGGCTTCTTATACTCTTCTGTACTCCTAGTTCCAATTAACTCTAATCCAAAGTCACGTTGCAACTGACAGTCAGTCAGTAAGTCTTGGTGTCGAGCCACGTCTGGAGCTCATGACCAGATTTTTATTACTGTTTGACAGTTATGGTCTTGTTTCTGTGGGGTGCCATCTCTGACGAGAGGACAGGTCTGTCTTTTATATATGATGCTGGCCCTTGCCAGTGCAGTCTTTCTTGAGTCCGAGTCCCTTAGAACTTCCGACCATATGTTCCTGTCTCAGATTTGAGACTTTACTTTTGTTGCCTCCTACGACTCACAGGGTCACGGTGGAGGTATTCGACCCCGCCTCCACACAGGTGGCTCTAATCTTACAGCTCACAGCTTTTGTTACATAGCTGAGACAAAGACCACATAGAAAACCTCCCCATTTAGGATAGTTGTGTAAGCTAATAACATGTCACAGCGCATATCTCAAAACAAATTCCCTTTTGTTGTCACATTCTTAAAGGTGAAAGTGTTTACCGGCCATCGCATAGGAACGGCAGTTCTTCTGTTGTACTCACTGTCTCAAGAATGTTCATTGACATTCCCCTGTTGTTATAGAAATGGTCCATATGTCACAATATGTAAGACACTCCTTAACAAAACTTGTATGAGAACACAATGTTGTGGTGTATAACTGAACATAAAAGACAAGTTGCTTGTATTACAACTGGATTATTTACTTTGTTTTGTTTTCTCTGGTATGTAGCTACTGAGGTTTTGCATATTTTATTTTAACATGTTTAAAGAATGCAAGTAAGTAAGGTTGTCCATGCTTAATAAGTACCACACCATGAAAATGAATGGAGGAATAGATGTACAGTTCTACATGTTCTAAACTTTGACATTAGATGTGAGAGGCCTTTATGTTGTGGCTGCTTTATGCCTGGGGTAGGAGGCCGAGTGAACAGATCTGGCCTGGACATTGTAGAATGCAGTTACAAAATGTTGGGGATTCCATTTAGAAATCACCAACTGCAATAGAAATGCAGATATTGTAATAAAAAGCCAAATACTATAGACTCAATTATCTGGGCTCAAAGAAAAATGAATTTCCAGGATAATCAGTAGAAGGAATATGTAACTTGGGATTTATAAAACAACACATACACATATTTATTTACCCAAATGCTGTTGGTAGAAAGATGAGCATAACTTCTGAGAATCTCTTATGCTGTTTCTGCCCATTAAAAAAGAAAATGAAATACAGAAGGACTTCTTGAGTTTTTAAATAGCAATTTCACATGAAATTTATCTTTTGACATTGGACACACCAATCAGTTTGCTGAACAAAGTCCCCTAATAATCTTCCTTCCTTCCCCCCTCCCCCAGTTAATCAAGAATGTAGTAGCTTGGATGTCTTGCCTGATAGGGAACCAACAGAAGTGATCACATTCAAGTGACATTCAAGTACGTATAATATGAACAGTTACTGATCATAATAATGAGAAATAGGTTCGATCATTACTTCTGAAACATGATGGAATTGCGCTCTTGTTGACCAGATTTAGTAAGACTATTTCATACTTTAAAAGATTGCTTGTGTAATAAAGTGAAATTAAAGAATGTATTATTCACCATTTTATCAAATATTCATTCATTTTTAACACACACAGCATCCAAATTGCATTAATGTACATGTTAATCTTTACTATTTTGGCTGATCAGATGTTCATGGAATTTAATATTGGGGATTTCTGCCAAAGTTTAAAAACATTCAAATGGACTGCAGTAATGGATACTTTACACATCTCAAGTGTAATTATTTGTCAAGAGGGGAAGCTTTCAAACAAAAGTTCCTGATAAAAACGGAACACGCATTTAATACCCAACATTTTTTCTGTAAGCTGGTCACCTTTCATGATAATTCAGCAAAAGGAACCAGATGTGCCAGAATTATTATGCTGTCCATCCATTTCCTAACTTTTCTTAATTTGATGAAGGAGGAGTAATGTTTGGAATGTTTGCTTAAAATTAAAAATGACTCTCATACACATAAAATAAAGTAGTAACATATGGCACATACCAGAAGAAATAGACTTAAAGAAGTTTAGTTACTGTTAGTCTTGTCAGTATTTTGTTGTGTCTGCTATTTGTGGGATTCATCACTGAGTTTGTGTTTGTATTATACCTGTCATTTGTATTTAGATAATTCTGGGACCATGTATAACCTTCATATATTTCCATATATGATAACGAAACATGCCCTGAAGATCACAAAAGTGTCATGAGTCAAGAACCTACAGATGGTAAATATAAGTAACTGCCATAAACAACAGAAATTGTTCAAGATTCAGGGCAGATATTTCTGCATGGTTATGCTAGCATTCTTATCTTAATAACTGTCAAAAATGTCTTTCGTCTTCAAGGAACCCCCACACTGAAGTTCTGCTGTTACATGGGTCAGGATCCTGTAGTTCACTCTGAAATGAAGGGATAATTAGTGGAGTCTCAAAAATATTCTGAAAAAGAATGAATGATGTTAAGCAGGATCCCTAAGCGGTGCACCTATGTGGATAAGACTAACTTTCTGACTTGTAAAAATGATAGTAAAATGATGTAACCCTCTTTTGTCCCAAACCATCATTGAATAAATATGTGATGGTGCATAATTACAAGTTACTGTACTGTGAAACTGAATACCGAATTTGTTAAACTTTCAATAAATGTATACTTTTTGTAGTGTTATATTTCATTCACCGCAGTTGGCCAGGATCTGTGTTCTTTCATTCATCAATAAGGGAGTCACAAATGCTCGTCTGAGAGATGGTTCCAAGTGCAAATTAATTATATTTAAAACACATAACTGAAAAGAAGTATGAAAGACTAGATCTTATTTGGCACCTATTTACTGGAAATTACAGGATGTGACAGACAGAACTGTGTGTTTGTTCATAGCATGCTGCTTCTATGATGTGTGGTCATCAAGAAAGAACTCCCTAGTTTAAACATGCAGTAACTTGTGAAACATGAAACAAACGAAGTACTTTCTCTTTAATTTTTCTTTCCTTAAATGAAGTAAACCAATGTCGAATTGATTCAATACCTGAAAGTTCTTTTCCCAAGGCTTGCAGTTCTTCTGTCACAGCATTGAGTGTGCTTAGGAAGCAGGCTAGGAATGAAAATTTGTGAGTTGCTGAACACAGAATGACTGATCTGGAATCATGAGTTCTTTTTCAACAACACTGTATTTAAAGTACTGTATCCTGAAAGTAGGAATAAAAATTATTCACTAGTATACTGACACATGATTGAGTGTGACTATAGATGGGGCATGGATTGGTAACTGGATGTACTGAAAACTTACAGAATGTAACTACAAATGACTATAACACTACTACTAATTCACATACACACTGCAGTTCGCTACAACACATACAAAGTCTTCTCAGTCTTCTGTATCTTCACCGGTGTTGGCCTGGTAATGGCTTCCAATACTGTAGCTTCTTCAGCTTCTGTGTTCATGTCCTTACTGGCTGGCAGCTATCTCACAACTAACTCTCAGGTTTGTGGCTATCTCACACCAACCTCCTACTCTTCTGTCACCTCAAGACTCTCTTGTAATTGCAGCTGCTCTGTTATATGGTCTCAGCATGGGCAGCACAGAAAACACCTCTCCCAACAGTTCTGCTGCATCATGTAGGTGTCAGATGACCCGCATAGAGAACACCGCTTCCCAGTTACTCCATTGTTGTGTGTTATGAATCTATTGTGGCCATTGCCTAGCAACATCTGTTGTATAGCTGCTTATTTTGCAGTGATTTCCTAGTAACAGGTATAGATACCACAACATGTATATGAAATCTTTCACCCATCAAACTGCTATGTCGCCTAGGAAGGCTGACACAAGAACTAAAGCCAAGACACATTGTTTTGACTTTGCACTGTGTTTCTCCATGATGTTTTCTCATGCAACAGGCAAATTCGTGTTCCTATACTTTACAGATAATGGGGTTGTTTAGTATTTTACTTTTTATGTCAAACAGAATTGAAATTTATAATATAATGCCAGTTTCCATATTTCATTATATGGAAATGATACAGGTTGAGAACAACAAAGTGTTTCTAACTTCAAGCACCGGAAGTAAAATTAAGAGATACAATTAAGATACAAGTTAGGAACTAAATACTGCTGAGGAAATGTAAGATCTAATGCCTACACAAAATGCAATCAATGCCAAATGGGCAGTAAGACACTCAAACCCTTCTCTTCAGTACAGATCAGATGGTAATTTGAAGACGGTTGAAGTTCATCCTTGTGTAGGATAGAGCCTTTGTACTCATACAGTACTTTTAGAAAATATGGACAGACTGTTCAGTTTTATATTTGGGTGAGGTAACATGCTTTTCGCTCTTTGGCAATCAGAACGGTCACTGTTCCAACCTACACAATTCTAATTTAGT